AAAAAAAAAACAAATTCGGAAATTTTCTGTAATTCGAGAATAGCTAAATTGTTTGCAATGAATTTGGTTTAACAGATGTTACAATTCAGTGCATTCATTTAGACCCAAAATCGTCAGAAAATATTTGTTTGTCTCTGAGATAAGATTGTTATTTATTTCCGATTTTACAATGAATGTGTCATCAAATGTTCTAATATCTCGAACGGCTATGCCTTGATTAAATATACTTTGAACCCTAGCGCTAGAATTAATTTAAACCAAAATCATCGAAAACGGCATGGCTTGCCCATCCTTGAATTACTTTATGTGATGATGGATCATTTTTCTTTTGTAAATTTGATTCGATAAATGTTGCTCCGTTTTCGGTATTAAATGTATCTCAAGTTTTGGCATTTATTCAAACCTGAAATCACCGACATCAAACCAGCCATTTTCAAATTAAATAAATAATAAATTTCCGGATAATTTGTTGCTTACTTTATTTAAAATAATACACTCTCAATCTTTATTATGCCTTTTCATTCTATCAATACAATCTTTAAATCATTCATTACACCTAAATCTTCCATCGCACTTCCTTCCATTTTTTATTACAGCATTTCAGCAATACGGCATTACAGCATCGCATTACAATAATACGTCAATACAGCATTATATTTCACGGTTTTACAGATAACAATACTGCAAGTGCCATAACTGTCTTGTGAATAAAATCCAACGTCAGCTATGTATGGACTTAGGTAGCGCACCCACAAAAATTGCCCCCGTAATTTTTACCGAGAATAAAAGTTGTAGTTTAAGTTAGGCTTAGGACGATAGATTTTCTATTGGTAAAATTTCACGAGGAGAATTTTTAATTAGGCCGCAAAAGGTGGTTTCTTAATTAAAATTTCGAGATATTTCTGTTTTTTTTTTTTTTTTTTGTAAAAAAATAGGTTCGTTTTGATTATTTACGTTACACCTGATCTTGAAATTTGATTGGTCAAAATCACGGGAGGAACAATTTTTGTGGGTGCGTTAGGGGTTGGCATGTGTGCATATATATTACGTACGTACGTACACGAAAGAACTCTGGAATATAAATGCGCAGTTCATTTAGCAATTCTGAAAATATTCA